AAAAAAAAAAAAAAAAAAAAAAAAAAAAAAAATTGAAAAAACATGAAACCTAACTTGGCCCATCTCTGAAATGATTTGAGGAACTTGCAAGAAAGTCATTTGCTAGCATGCCCTAGTTTGTACTTTGGACCCTAATTCCCAAGAACCCTCCTCCCCACCCACCAGGGACTTCAGGAACAGTCAAAGCAACATTTCAGCAATCAAATTTTGGGGATCCTGGTCTAGTCTCCTAGCTCTCATGTCCCCAGGGAAGGCCAGTGCTTAGTACACCTTGGGTTGTGGTGAGAGAGACTCTCCTCTTGGAGGCCCTAACAACTGGGTCCAGACTGCTTTAGCCAATGAGAAGTCTATCCAGTGGTTCAAATCTCAGGGAATCCATGATCCAGCAATACCTCTAGCATATACTCACTTAAGGCAATATCTGGCAAGAGCTTTGTAAAAGAGAATCAGGGGAAAAAAACAGGGAAATGACTTAAAGCCTACTAAATGAAACAGGGAGGATGAAACTGTGGAAGATCATATTTTCCAAAAACGACTGCAAAAACATTTCTGGTCTTATATGCTTTTCCAGAGTATTGCCACCCCCCCCATCGAAAGGAGGAGCTTATTTCTTTTCACCTTGAAGCTTGGTGGGTCTTAGCGACTACTTCAATGAATAGGATATGGCTAATGTGATGCCGTGTGACTTCTGAGGTTAGGTTAGGAAAAGTGATACAGCATCCCCTGTCAGAGATGGGAGTGAACAAGTCTTCTCATGGTCCCAGATCCTAACCTTTCAGTAATCCCAGCCTTTAGGTCTTTTAGCTCAGGCTTAAGACATCATGGAGCAAAGACAAACCCTTCCCTCTGTACTCTTTGAGAATTCCTGACCCATACAATCCTTTGGCTTGGCCGGGCGCGGTGGCTCATGCCTGTAATCCCAGCACTTTGGGAGGCCGAGGCGGGCGGATCACAAGGTCAGGAGATCGAGACCATCCTGGCGAACACGGTGAAACCCCGTCTCTACTAAAAAATAGAAAAAAATTAGCCGGGCACAGTGGCGGGCGCCTGTAGTCCCAGCTGCTCGGGAGGCTGAGGTAGGAGAATGGCGTGAACCCGGGAGGCGGAGCTTGCAGTGAGCTGAGATCTGGCCACTGCACTCCAGCCTGGGCGACAGAGCGAGACTCCGTCTCAAAACAAAACAAAACAAAACAAAACAATCCTTTGGCTTAATAAATGGCTGTTTTATGCTACTAAGTTTTGGGGTAATTTGTTGCACAGCAAGAGATATTCAGAATAGGAACCCTGGCTTGAGGGGTTCTCTTTGGGCATGTTCTCTTTGCAACTGCCAAAAGGTAAGTCCAGACCCTGCTGTGAAGCCTAGCCCTCCCCTGCCAGGTGCTTTCTGCATATAGTCATCTCTCAGGGGTCCCACTGTTCCTCCCTGTGACAGCACTTACCCTTCCCCTTCTAAGTCCATTAGGCTTGTTTTTAAAGATCTGAATACCAATTGTGCACAGGGTTTTAGCTCTTTTCCTGAAGTTTCTTGGGCCCAGATAAATCAGGAGGTAAGTTATTTCAGTTTTCAAACTGGTTCATATGGTTAAGGTATATGCAGTGGGGGAGGGTAACGGGAAGTGGGGATAAAGGAAAGAACCTAACTTCCAACACCTTTGTCTTAGTTCTGACCTACAGCCACTTGTTGTACTTAAATAATAACATGAGTGCAGTTAGAACCTTCACTCTCAGTGCCTTGATAGAACTGAATCATTTTACTTCCAACAACAACCCTCTGATCAAACTCAAAACTGGAAAAGCCAAAACTATAGGAACTTGACTATCTTGTACACTGTTGTAATATAAACACTTAGAACAGTGTCTAGATATAGTAAGCACTGAATAAACATTTATTGAATGAAGCAATAAACAAATGAATTAATGACAGAAAATTCTTCCCTCCTTCTAGAGGGCAATATGTAATATCAGATTAGCATAATGTGCTTAGAAAACTACAGTATTCAATAGGTTAACATTCTATTACATTAGACAATATGTTTTCAATCTGCTGAAAGTAAGTGTTAAAACTTACTTTACCTTGAGGGCAGAGAGCATGTCTTATACTACTTTGTATCCCCAGCATCTGACACTTTGCCTTAGGTACTCGCTAAATGCTCAGTGAATATTTTACACTAAATGAATATCAAACAGGGACTGGTAGGAATACTTCAAATCATTTAGTCCTCCTAGGCTTTGCCTAGTGAAAGGCAGTGACAGATAAGGGTGCTGGCCAATGCACCTGCTCCCTGGAGGGATCAGATTGGGATGTAGTAGTTCAGAAGTTCTGAGGCTTCTCAGCCTATCGAACTCTTGAGAACAACAGAATTCCAGATGCTGTTTATAATCTGAGTGTGACATTGGGATGAATGACATTGGGATGAAAAAAGGTGAAGCCTTCCACTTCAGCTCTCAAAACTGATGTTCTTTGATTTCTTCAAATAGGATTTCCTTTCAGAGCTATAAATGAGCTATTCATTTGTCTGTTTATTAATTCATCTTGTATTTATTGAGAGCCTGCTTATTACAAATTTTTTCCAAAGATTTGTTTAATTCGCTCAAGAAATAGCAAACTATTCAAAGGGTCCCCATTCCCTGGAAAAGAACCTTCACCGGGCAACCAAAGATAATAATATATTGTAGAGGCCCATGACAATTGTAGATGTAAGATCCTCACAATTTAGAATTAACTAATCCAGTATTTCAAAATGTGATCCATAATTGGCATTGTGGAAAATCACTTGACAGATTAGTAAAAATAGAGACCTCTGGAAGCCACTCCAGCCATATTAAATCAGAACCTCAGGAGTGAAATTAGAAACTTTAGTGAGCACCACTGGTGATTTTGATTGTCCTCAAGACTGAGAATCACTGACCAAAGGTGTGCTGACAGCACCTACATGCAATTTCTTAATATACTATAGCTTTCCTCTCAACTTTACAAAATTAAGATCTTACTTGGCTAATTCTAAGACACCTAGGAACAGTGTAAATATGGCTTAGAATTGCCAGTGCCCCAGACTGGAATTTCACTGAATGAATATAATCATTTTCTCCCTTAAGTAACCTAAAATAAACCCCTCCAAAAAGGAAAATATCAGGTAAATCTATTCTTCCCTTATGAAACTCACAGTTTAGAAGCAATTAAAATAGAGATGCTTTAGGTCAGGCACAGTGGCTTACACCTGTAATCCCAACACTTTGGGCGGCTGAGGCAGGTGGATCACTCGAGGTCAGGAATTCGAGACCAGCTTGGCCAGCATGGTGAAACCACGTCTCTACTAAAAATATAAAGATTGGCTGGGTGTGGCAGCTTGTGCCTGTAATCCCAGCTACTTGGGAGGCTGAGGCAGGTAAGTTGCTTGAACCCAGGAGGCAGAGGTTGCAGTGAGCTGAGATCATGCCACTGCATTCCAGCCTGGGCAACAGAGCAAGACTCCATTTCAAAAAAAAAAAAATTAATTAAAAACAATAGAGATGCTTTAAACCTTGATATGGCACACACAGACCCTTTTCAATTTGAAAAACAACAAATGACAGGCAACAATTGTGATGGGGGGCTTGTGACCATGCCCATCTGGACTGTACTATTTTCCTATTTTTCTACCCTGGTTCCCACAGTGCTGAGGCCCAGCTGGGACTTTGTGTCTTTTTCCTTGCCTTACCCCCAGACTTGCTCCTTTTCTTCCCAGGATACTTTTACTCACTTTCTGAATTTTCCTAATCTGGTCAGAGAGTGTGTCTAACAGGCGAGTTTTCAGGAAGTCCATCACCTTGACCACCCGGCCATCAATGTAGCAACTGGAATGAAAATAAAATAAGAATCAGATAAAATCTCAAGCAAAGGACTATAAATATATTTTTCTAGCCGGAGATCTCTGTTGCCCGAGGAAACAAACCAGGGTTCCACCTGGGCTCTCACATTCTAAAAGGTTTTGACCCTGGGTACTTTTCAAACAAATGATAACCTTTTTATCTTCTCCATTTCCACCGCTATTTGTGGGCTAATACTGTTATTTTTTTCAGCTTTTGTCACATGAAACCCCATTGCTTACTTGACAGAATTGATGGAAATTCCATAATACAAATTGGGTAATGAGGAAAAGCTTACTTTTTATTCCCTTGGGGGAAATAATTTAATACCCATCCCATGCCCATCGCTAATCCTACCTTAAAGTAATAAAGGTATGTGAGAGGTTTGAAATAATACTCAATCATTTTAATAAGTTTTTTCATACCTTTAAATAAGAAAATAAATATCAAAGCAAAAATCTGACTTAATGTAGTGAGTGAGTCTCCAGCTCATTCCTGTGGGCGAACACTCTGTAGTCAACCTGCTACCAAAATATGCCGTGGTTGCCTACTACCCCCAGAATGAATGAACAAAGGAATGAATGAGGTACAAAGGTGGAAGAACCCTCTCCTAAAATAGTAACAACTTGATACTCATTGGTTTTTGTTTTGGTTTGGTTTTTCTTAGCTTAAATGAAACATTAAGTTGTGTTGACACTATGTTGTAAATATTTGACCAAAACAGGCCCATCCAGCTTTGTGGAGATATCCTTTGTGAGACTCTTTTCTGAAGACTAAGCTAAGGCTGACCCAGGGTTAGGTGACCTTCATTACCTCAGACCTTCCCTTACCCCCATCTTGGCAAAGTTCTGAATTCAATCAATTTCTAAATGCTTGTGATTCCTGGGTGCCTTTTCCAATCCACTAAGTTATCCTTGGTTGCTGGCTAATGATAAATTATTTCATTTTTAAGAAGCAGCCACCTATCACTACATATTATAGAACTATGTGAAAATTATTTTCAATGTCAACTTGCTATACCAACATGTGATGTATTGGAATGGTTAATTTTTAAATGTTTGTTTTATTGTAAGGCAGGTGCTTTCACTGTGGTAAGGGTGGTGATCTACCCACTCAGCCTTCCTTTTGGCCTCACTTACCACTTCACGACATTTCCACAGAATCCAGTGCTTAAACCACTGGAATGTTGGAGCAAATTTGGGTTTTAGCCAGAAATATCTGAGTTCAAATTCCAGATCTGGTATTTACTAACTATATGATCTTGGGTAAGTTACACAGTCTCTATGGGCCTCAGTTTTTTTATTCTTAAATGGGGGATAATATATCTTCTCCTCAGGCTTAATTGAGAATTAATGAGATAACAAAGGTAAAGTTCCTGGCATACAGTAGGGACTGAACAACTTTTAGTTCTTTCTAATTGTCAGCTCACTAAGATGGGATTATAAACAATAGGAGACTGATTAATTAAGTTATGTGTAAATATAGAATACTATGACAGTGGAATTTCTGAGCCAGGGGATACATGTAATTGAAAATTTTTGATGGTTACTTATATCAGGAAATAAAATAATAACATGTCCTTTGCCTCATCCCTTGTACAGATGCCAGACTCAGATCCAATAAACATTTATTATGTGCAACACATAGCGCTGGGCATATCCATGTCCATTATCCTATCTCATAACCTGTTCATAGTAGTACTTCTTAATTAGCACCTCTGATTTTTGAAAACAGATCAGATACATGGCATACTACATGGAAGCCAGGCATATTGTGACAGAGTAGTGTTAAAATTAAAAATAATTTAAGCACTGCTAATCTAACACATATTTGAGGAACATGAATACTTGCTACTATATTATATGGTGACCAGGAATATAACAAGTAGTGCATGGTAATTATTCTTTTATTATTTAATCAAATATATTATAGTTTCCTCTTTTCTCAGTTAGTTCCCCAGTAACTATATTAAACATCAAAATTTATAATTTTTGTTAGCAACACAGATAGTTTAATACTTATTGAGATAAAAATTCCAGATGTAATTTTTCAGTATGTAGGATTTCCTGTGAAGAACCTCTCTAGCCTACCCTAATCTGTGGCCCATGGTTGAGGGTCCCTTCACTCCTTTCCTCCTTCCTTTTCTCAAGTACCCAGAACCCGGAGTTACAAAACCTTGGTTCAGTCCCTTCTTTAAAGTGGGTTTCAAAAAATCCAAATCTATAGTATTTTCACAGGGTTAGTGTACTGATCACATAAGGAAAGATGCTGGGCATGGGACCTGGCATATAAAAGCTATTAAATAACCAGATCTACCCTGTTCAGATTACTTAACGGCCCAAGGCAGCAGAAACTTACACTGAAAGGCCATGGATGGGATGCGCAGGGGGAGCATCCCTCTGGAGGAGAGCATGCTACCCACTGTAGAACTTGGAGTGAGGAAAGTGTAGAGCAGCAAGAACAGACTCTGGATTCCCAGCAGGTGTGAGGCAGAGGCAGGGATGGAGATGGCTGTGATATGTTGTAAAAATTTGGAGTTTGAAAAGACCTTAGGGGTCAACTGGCCTAAAGCATGTAAGCTTGATATAATATCCCTTAGAAGTGATTTTCTGGTTCTGCTTGAACATATCCAGGGAAAGGAATTCACTGTCATACACTACTAGGACTGTTTCACTGCATCACAGCTCTAATTGATGAAAAGCTCTTCTGACATGGTGCTGAAATCTGATCCCTGTTACCTCCTCTCAATGGCTAGCATTCTATCTTCTTGAACCCAGAAATAGTCCAATTGCTCCTTCATGTGATACATGGGAGATGAAATTCAGTAACCTTGGCTTAAACTTTTTAGCCTATTCTTGTCCCCAGTTTTAACCTTACAAGCTGGATCCAATCATTCTCAGGTGGTCTTGGGCTATTCCCATGGGCTGTGAATTGGATTGGAGCAGGAGGAGACACAGGCATGGAAACCAATAAACAAAGTTATCTTATCTCAATAGTGCTGGCAAGAAATGATCTGGGTCTAAATAAGGGAGAGAACAAGAAAAGTGAAAGCGAGCAGCCATGAAGGAAGAACAAATAAAGCTTCTGTAGAGGGTAAAAGAGAGGAAGGGAGTCACTGATGACCATGAACATATAAGAGAGATTGCCTTGGAGAACACTGTTGCCAAAGAAATGTAGGTTAGTCATACGGGAATACAGTTTGTTAAGAGAGATGAAAGATACTTTCTGACATATCAAAAGTGTACAGAATATCAAGAAAGAACTACATACCAGGTAGCTGGAGATACGAGAAAGAGGTACAGAGAAAAGTTGAGACAAGAAATGTTGATGTGGGCGTCTTTTTCAGTTTATAAGTAATGGACAAAGCCATGGCTGCAGATGAGCTCTTCAGGAGAATAAGGGAAATTAAAAGAGATGTCAGAGACCCTTTAAAATGCTTCTAAAATATGGCCCTGGGCATTGCCTCTACCTTTGACCCAGCTAAGGACCCCTTCCTCCTCTAGCCTGATGATCACAGCATCTTTTTAATAACTTCAGTCTGAGTCCAATTCACATTTGAATGTCAAAGGAATCCTCACATTATACTGAGAAGTTTCAGCAACGTTCATCTGCAACCTTAAACCCACATTTATATTGTACTATGGAAATATGAACTTTGGTCACCCAGAATTCAGCATCGCTTTTAAGAGAGGGGATCATTTAACCATAGGGTATGGCCGGAAGCGGTGGCTCAAGCCTGTAATCTCAGCACTTTGGGAGGCCAAGGCGGGCGGATCATGAGGTCAGGAGCTTGAGACCATCCTGGCTAACACGGTGAAACCCCATCTCTACTAAAAATACAAAACATTAGCCAGGCATGGTGGCGGGCGCCTGTAGTCCCAGCTACTCACGAGGCTGAGGCAGGAGAATGGCATGAACCTGGGAGGCGAAGCTTGCAGTGAGCCGAGATCGCGCCACTGCACTCCAGCCTGGGCAACAAAGCAAGACTCTGTCTCATAACAAAACAAAAACAAACAAACAAACAAAACCCATAGGGTATGAACTTATCAATACCTAAACCTTTTTCTTGGATATTCTTGGACAACTAACTTACTGCACTTACCCATTGTAAATGTGAAGCTTCTAAGAAAACATTCAGCATCAGCAATCTGTGGCTATTTGAAAGCTTCTTCCCAGTTACAGAGCTTTGGTTCTCTGATGGTAGTTGCATGTGGTGATAGGTCCAATCTAAATATATCATTTATATTTGGGCATGAAGGAGGTGGAGTAGTCTGTGGTGACCATTTTGTAAGAATAAATTGCTAAAAATGGTGATAACGGTGATTTCTTTTTTTCTTTTCTTCTCTCTCTCTCTTTTTTTAAACCTAGCAGAATGGTCTAGAATCACCTAGACTGACACTTTTAGGTAAATCATAGTCATCCTTCAAGCTTTCTTGAAATTCAGCATCACTTAAGATCATACCACAAGTGGCCGAGCTGTTCCACTAAAAACCAAAGCCAAAAAAGGCTGTGCAGAAATAACCTTTCTGAGAACTATCACAAAGGCAACGAAGTTGAACCTTTCGTATTAATACATGGTCAAAAGGTCTGTCTCGCCCAATGCCAGCAATTCATTCCTGCCTCTAGATTGGCAGCTCACATCAAGCATGTATCCAGGGAAGTGGCAAAGATAGCAGACTATACAAAGTAAAAGGAATCACTTTTCAGTGCATTCACCAACTCTCCTGTCACCCTTAATTTTACATTTTAGTTCCAGCACAATACTCTTCATCTTATTTCATTTAGTGTTGCCCTTTATTTTTATTATAAAAGAACTAAATGCTCATTGTAGATGAATTAGAGAATGAACATGAACAAAATAGAAATAGGAAAATGGAAAATCACCTACAGTATAAGCACAACACCTAGAGAGGCTCATTGCAACATTTTGCTGCATACTCTTCCAGTTTTTCATAGTAAATAAACATAAAATTTCCCATAATTAGATT